GCTGCCCAGAGAGGCTGTGGAGTCTCCTTCCCTGGAGATCTTCCAAACCCACCTGGATGCCACCCTGTGCCATGTGCTCTAGGTGTCCCTGCTGGAGCAGGGAGGTTGGACTAGATGATCTCTAGAGGTCCCTTCCAACCTCAACGATTCTTTGTTTTAAATTCCAGTACGCACTCTTGTGTACTATTTTGGTGAAAGTCAAAACTAGAAAAAAAGTCTTTCTTTGAGATTTATGTGGTTTTAAACATCAAATATGCACTTTTTTTTTTCCAACAGATCCCATCATTACATCAACGTGCCAGTGCAGTTCAAGCCAAAGGCAGAAGGCAGATTTGAATCTCTCTTGGTTGTGCAAACAAACAAACATGGCTGTCTTGGTATTCGGCTATGCGGTAAAGCTATTCCCAAAGAATAGGCAGAGACCAGTTTTGTAACATGCCATTTAAAATATTCAAAGATTTGCTACTACGGTTCCATACTAACTTCCCCATTTTCTTGTTTACCCTCTGATGCTGCTTTACTGGAAGGTGTTCTGGAAGGTGAATCATGGTGCTTGTTTTACAAGTCTGTTTTCATAGTTAAAAAAAATGTTGAGACATAATGTTGTATGTTTTAAAGTTATGTTCTAACTTACATTACTGCACTTTTGTTAAAAGGGGAAGTTTTCTATTTTTGCATTTATTAGGAATGGCTAGAGACTGATGTATTTATTTTAAATATTGTAAATACAAAAATAAAATCTATGTGCTAACAACTGATTCTACCTGATTTCTGTCTTTGGTGATTAAACAGATCTTTGCAGAATGTAAAGGGTGACCAAGATGTCTTCTCTTAGGGAACATCAGGGTTTTTTTTAGATGGATGGATGAATGGAATCGATTTGTGATTCAGAAGCTGAATCGGTCAGGCTTGTTATTACAGCTGGTAAAGCTGGGCTGGGACATCTGACAGTTGGCCTTTTTGTGCAGCCCAGTGGTATGAACAAGTATTTTAACCGCCTTCAGCCTTCCAAATGATCCATCTAGTGTAGCTGCTTCCTTTGACTCCCTGCCATTGCGCTTGCCCAGAATTCACTGTCATTGGATGAGGGATGGAAGAGTTTTTATACTTACTCCTTTGATCCATTTATGGGTGTGTTTGTGAATTTCTGCTCGTGTTTTTGAGCTTCTCAGTACTCTGTCTCCAGTGCTGCCCGTGGCAGCAAGTTCCAAGAATTCCCTTCTGCTCTTTACAACAAGTTTTCTTTTATGCATGTTCATCTGGTCTCTTACTAATTCTGCGGAGTGCCCTCTCATTCTGATGTTGTGGAACTGAGTGAGCAACAGTCCCACCTTCAGCTTGTCCGTTGTCAGCGCACCGTTTGCAGCCCTTGGATGTTAATTCTTGCTGACTGATGGAAGTTTCAGTGAAACTCCTGTCAGTTTGAGATTGTGTGTTTAAATCATGTTTTCCAACAACTCACATTTGAAAAACTGAGGAAAAATGTAAACTACCCAAGGCATTGCCTTTTAAACACTCCACCAGAATTATGTTAGTGTAGTGTAGTTCTACAGCTGCTGTGTCTTCACAAAACCTAGTTTTTCAACAGTATGGTCACCAGGAAAGAAAGGTTTACTACGCAAAAATTAAACTATCCGTAAAACAATGTCATCTCCTTATTCTTCCATCAACAAGGGCTTTGCAACAAGATATTAGCTGCTCCTGTGTGCCAGCTACTGTGACCATTTTGCTTCTTTCTGGCTGATGCTGTGTCCCTTTCACCAACTGGTGTGCCCAGTTGAGATCTCTTTCTGCTCCTCCCGAATATTGGATGGGATTTAAGAGGCTCTTCCTCTGTCTACTCCTTCCTCAACAGGCTTGAGAAATGCTTTAGTATCCAAAAGCCTCTCTTGGTTCAATTTTAGATGCACAAGCATAAATCTCTTCTAAAGTTGGAGAGAGAGTACTGAGTTCAATATGCATATCTTGAGTGTCTTTGCATTTTCTAATTACTATCTTCCAGCTGTGCTTGCTTCTGAAGTTGCCTTTGCCTCTTGGTTCCAGTGTGTCCATTGGGTAAGCTTCAGCATCACCTGTATCCTGAAGAGTGATTAAAATCAGAATTCCTCTATGGAAGGGGACGTATTTTTTTATTTGGCTGATATAACATTTCTTCATTGATGACAGTTCTCCTTAGTGAATGGAGTTGGCAGCCTACTGCAGTGGCAGTTTCTTTTTGAATAGTTTTAGAATATAGAATTCAAAAAAAAATAAAAACACAACTGTAACTCAATTTTTTGGGGGTTGCAGCAAGCATTTAAAGTTCCTGGTGAAGATATGCCCTAGTTAACTGTCTGCCTGTTTAGAAGCATTCAATAGAGCTCAAAAAGGATTTGAGTTTATTTCTCATTGGAAATTTTCAAGTGTTAATATCGATACTAGTGCTGACTTTAGATGCTATTAAAGCCGTAGAAAGTTACACTACCACAAGGCACATCTTGGGAAATCATTCACAGCTATGATCACTTAGCCTACTGAAGAAGACCCATAGTCCTGTAAAAAAGACTTGGCCATTATTCCCAAAAAGGCTACAAGTCCACAGGAACATAGGATGTGCCTTGGCTTGAGCTGTGTTTGCATAATCTTGACAGGTTTTTAGTGGTCAAATGACTATTGCACCATCTTTTTAAGCTTTACCTCTCTAAATCTTCTGCAAAGTAATGCTTTGAAGGCTTGGGTGAAGTCGGTGAGAAACCCACGATGTCCCTTCATGTCAGTGGGTCTGAGGGAGGCGTTTGTGCAACTTTCAGAAGTGCTGCAAGACCGAAGAGGAAGAAAGCACCAATGTGGTGCTCCTTACAGCCAAGAGGAGCAAGTCTGCACGATGAACATATTCCTCCTTGCAAAGACCTCAGGATGCCGGCAAGTTGTTTGAAGCCTCCCTCGTTCTTCTTGAGGAAGACTGGAACTGTAAGCCTGAGACAACACTGAAAGGGTGAGTGTAACACCCTTGGGTGCAAGTACTAAGAAGCTTGTAAATACTAAGAAGCTTATATATAGTGATTTTAATTGTGTTCCTTGTGAGGCTTTTCTGGGTTATGTAGATAACTTGGAATGCTAAAGGTAAAAGATTAATTGAATTGACTACACATTCTTGGCTTAATTTGTAAAGTATATTCTATTTTGCACGTGAAAAAAGTGAGACTAACAGTCCTTTTTTGGTGGAGGACATTAATTTCAAGGGCTAACTTCTCTTCTGTTTCTCTACAGAAAAGTATGGCAAACCATATCATGACTCTGGGTGATGGTCAGTCCTTCAGAAATTTTAGTTAACTCTCAGAAATATTCTTTTATTAATCCTACTTACTCTGATCTTGCAGCCCACGTCCACCTGCGTGTGTGGGTGGGTGGGTTCTTTGTTTGCTTGTTATTTTGTTATTTTTATTTTCTTTTTAAAATAGAATTTCACCAGGCAGCCTTTCCACAGCAGGCAGGGCTCCTTGCGTTCATTATTGCTTAGAGGCAGTCTGTGCCCAGGCTGAGTGCTAAAACGAATTTTTTGAAAGTATAGTCTGAAGGCAGTACAGAAACTCCCAGCAGCACCTTTTCAATGGCTTTTTCAATTTTCTGAAAAGACGATTCTAAAACTTTAAAATAGTTGTAGATTCTGCAAGCTAGAGTCATTTCATTCATTTTTCAAGATGTTACCTCAAAGCTTCTCTTGAGCTTTAATGAGATCCTATTTTGGAAGAAAAAAAAAAAAAGTCCATTTACTGCTAAGCTTAAATGTTGCAGACCCCTAATCCCCTATTCCTCAAGCAGAAGGCATTTTACAGCAGCTGGCTCCTAGTAGGATGGCTGATGATGAGCACCAGAGTCTGATCCTCTGCTCGGGGCAGTCCTGACCCCATGCAGGTAAGGCCGATGCATACAGCTTCTCAGAACTGGTCTCCTGTGAGAAAACCTCCAGGAAAGGCTGGGCAGGCACCAGGTGATGCCACGCACAACCCTGCCTTCCCACCCCACCAGCTCAGATGATTTCATCATTTTCTGAGTCTCTCAGGTACCCGTTCTAGTTCCTTCTACTTGTCAAATTTCACAGTAATTCGCTTGGATACCTCCTTTGAAACTATATGCTCCTCATGAGATGCATGAATGCTACCTGACTCGTGTTCAGAATGAACCAGACATTCCTCTGTGAGAAGTGACTTTGTAAATAGTAGAAGTCCCTTTGAAGCCAACCTCCTAGTTGCCCCTCTTACTGTGCTTTGGTCGATGTTGCTGAGCAGTTTGGGCTCTGCAAGCAGAACAGCTTCAGTGTGAGATGAAACCAGAGGGTGGCCTTATCAGGCGCTCCAGTAGCTATTGAGGTACTAGATCGATGAGACCAGGCTAGATCTAGTCCAGACTAATTCTTTCGAGGGGTTATAGTGTGGACCTGAGCTGACCAGCATCAACTGTTTAAATCTGTAGTTTCTCTTCTGTGGTTTCATGTTTCTTGTTAACGTAGATAAAGCCTTATTAGAGGAGCCAACTTGTGACTTGTTGCTCATGGAAGTCACGTTGCCTGTGCATGTACTACCCTGGCAGCTATTTTAGCCATCCACTTAACCCTGACTTTTTGACAAGCTTTGCTACAGTTCAGTCTTAAATGGTGAGTTTGAGGTGTGATCATTTCAGACCTTGTTTCTAGTAGGTTTACAAAGGAGGTGATTGGCCGCCTTCTTCCTCTCAAGGACCTTGGTTCCTCTGTGTCTGTAGGTCAGGGCCTGTTAATAATGAAGCCATTTGAGCTATTATGTCTTTTTCTTGTTTACTATCCGTGGGTACAGCATTTTTAGTCTCACAAATGATTATTTAACCATAATATCTGTTGGTGCAGTGTGACTTGTCATGCTGCTTAAGAATGAACTGGACAGCAATCTTTTTTTTGACAGCAGTTATTGTTGGCATTGGCAATAATTAGCATTTCTAGGCATGGGCCTTGCCACATGCAGGTAGAATAATTATTTCTTGGGGAAAAAAACGGAATATGGTGTATAATACAAACTCAAAACTATTTTTTTTTCTAAGGGACAAAAATGAGGAAGTGAAAAGACACTTAAAGTAGAAATCCTTTGGTAGATGAACCTTTTCTCCAGTAACGAAGGGCCAAGAGTTGGAGCATTACTGATATGTTTTGGATTGCAAAATGAAAACTGGAAGTGAAGACAAAGGAAAGAGAAGGGAGAAGGTCATGCTGTCTGGGAAGCTGCAGTTCTGCTAATTCTAGAAGATGTCTGGATCATTAATTCTCCTTTGAGGTAACACAGAGACAAGCTTTTGCTACTGTAAATAGCAACTGGTATGATAGTCTTTAAGGAGCATCAGTAGGAGTTTAAAAGTACTGAGCAAGTTACTTGAAGCTGCTTCCAATCTTCGTCTGTAGAATGAGAC